GGGGGGGTGAATCTGGCCTGTTACAGCCAGCCAGATTAACCCGGGGTTACTCTAGCCTAGGCCAGAATAACCCCTCAATAACCCCTCCAGGGTTATTCTAGGCTAGGCCAGAGTAACCCCGGGGTTACTCTGGCCGGGGGGTTAATCCGGCCTGTTACACCGGGTTCAATCCTTGGCATCTCCAGTTGTCCAGTAGTAGGTGATGTGAAAGACTTCTACCTGAGATTACAGACAGCAGCTGCCAATCTAAGTAGACAATTCTAACCTGATAATAATAATAAATAATTATCATATGGCATTGTGTGTAGAATAATCAGGAGATCCTAAGATTTCCTGGCAACCTGAAGCTCTAGCTCTTTAGTGTTATCCACCATTAGCTAGACTTGTTTTTAAGGCAAGAGACATTTCAGAGGTGGTTTGCCATTGCCTGCCTCTGCATCATGACCCTGGTATTCCTTGGAGGTCACCATTCCAAATACTACCCAAGGCCGACCCCACTTAGCTTCTAAGATATGATGGGATTGGGCTAGCCTGGGCTATCCAGGACAGGGTTCAATGCTCCCTCTAAGCTGTGGAGTCTTGTGAGCAAAAATTCTACTTTGTGAGCTACTGGCATTAAAGTTGTGAGCAAGTGATCTGGCTACTGCATAAATTAGTTTATTCTGGAGCCATCCTTCCTGAGCTAAATCAAAAATGTGTGAGCTGGAGGCTAAAAAACTGTGAGCTGGCTCACACTGACTCAGCTTAGAGGAACACATGTTCTGACCTGATAGACCAGTACAAGGCAGGTTTATGTGTTCATGTGCATCTGAGAGTCAGCATGGTGTAGTGGTTAAGAGCAGCAGACTCTAATCTGGAGAACCAGGTTTGATTCCCCACTCCTCCACATGAAGTCCGTTTGGGCCAGTCACAATTCTCAGAACTCTCTCAACTCCACCTACCTCACAAGGTGCCTGTTGTGAGGAGAGGAAAGGAAGGTGATTGTAAGCTGCTTTGAGTAGGCTTACCAAGGTCCGGCGGGGGAATTGTATTTCCTGGCAGGAGCCTTGCCGCGGGGATGGCTGCACGTCGCCAGGATGTGACGTATTAAAACCAACTCTTCTTCTTCTTCTGAATATACATTCACATTGTATGTAGATGCTCATCTGGTCCCCACTGAACCTGCTGGCTGGTTGCATTGTTTGAGGATGCACATCTGCATTTGGAGTTTTACCAGTCATTATGCACACCCATAGAGTGATTAAAGAGATTCTGATTTTACTAACTACACACATGCAGTACTCCAAGAGAGCAGCAAGGGAGAGATACCAGATGCTTGAACTTTGAGTCTGTCCCTTCCTTTTCAGCATCTCAGACTTTGTGAACAAATGCATCCTTGCTGGGTAGGAAACTTGAGCGGCATGAGGGGTTACAGAAACCTGCGCCGTCAGTGCTCTTTTTGCAGCCTCACGAATGGCCAAACCTGCAGACACACAATGGCTGTAAGCTTGCATCCAATTAACAGGATCAAAGCAGCCTTCCTGAGTTGCAACCTCATGAGTGATGTTTGTTTAGCATGCTTAGAGATTCCGTGGTGACAGTGTGATATCTCCTGTCAATGCTCACTTCAAGTGTTGATCATTGTAAATGTTAATCTGCATTATGGGGTCTTTACTGGGTTGCCAGCTCTGGGTTGGAAAATACCTGGAGACTTTGGGGGTGGATCTGGGAGAGGGTGGGGTTTGAGCAGAGGAGGAATCTCAGCATGGTACAATGCCACAGAGTTCACCCTTCAAAGCAACCATTTTCTCCAGGGGAGCTGATCTCTGTCATCTTCTGGCCGTGGAACAGGGGTCACTGTGGGTGTGGAGGGGGAGGTATTTGTGAATTTCCTGCATTGTGTAGGAGGTTGGACTAGATGACCCTGGAGGTCCCTTCCCACTCTATGATTCTCGATTCTGTCAGCTGAAGATCAGTTGTAACAGCAGGAGATCTCCAGGCCCCAGGTGGAGACTGGCAACCCCAGGTCTTTACCATCACAATGATCTCGCCCCGCCTCCCAGAACTTCAGCGATTCTTTTTATTCCCTGAGTCATGGTTAGCTTTCTAAAGAAAGTTGTAGAAGCAGGAATGCCTTTAAAGAAAATCATCAACATAGGGATGGCCGAAGAGTCTCCATTCTTCCAGACAGTTTGGAATCTGAACTCTATGGCCAGCAGCTACTGAGGCAGCAGGAAGTATAATGCAAAGATTTAAAATGCCACAAACCAAAAAGACCATGTGATGTCATCGCAGGATTCTTGGGGGGGGGATTCCAGACGTGGCAAGCTACCAACTCATCACACCAAATGCACATGGTAACTCTCGTAAATGAACAGATGTGTCACATGAGAAAGAGAAATCTCCTTTAAACCAGCATGTATTTGGTGCAAACAGTGGTCATTTTTAATGATCCTTCATTGGGTGGAACTATGCGGGTGTCCACCAGCTTTGCTATTAACACAATGCTTGGGCTCTGTCACCAGGTGTCAGTTTCAATTATCTTTACTACTACAGCACAGGCAGAAGAAATAGACAGGGCTAAAGCAGCACCTAGTGGCAGAGCACAGCAAAGAATCCAGATGACTGTTGAGGAAAATCAATTGCAAAAGAACACTCCTACTGTCATAACGATGCGTGGTAAAATGGGGCAAACCTCTCCATTTCCATGGGATTAGATTACACTTCACACACTGGAATGCCAGGAGGGGTCATGCGTGTAGGAGGACTGCAAATCAGAAAGGATGCACGTCCAACCACATGGGTTTCAATAGAAAAAATAACATGAACAGAGCTAAATTAACAATCCCACGCAGGCCTTTGAGTGTATAAAGTCCCACCACTGCTGCCTGTCTGGTGCAAGTGGAGAGCAAGTTGAGACTCAACAACACCCCCCCCTTTTTTGCTGTCTTCTTGGAACATCAAAACAAAGGAACTGCAGAGCACAACTGTGTGGGTGTTAAGTGGTGTCAAGTCACTTCTGATTTATGCCGACCTTATGAATTAATGGCCTCCAAAACATGTTATCATTAATAGCCTCACTCAGGCCTTGCCAACTGAGGGCCCTTGTGGCTTCCTTGGTTGAGTCCATCCATCTCATGTTGGGTCTTCTTCCTCTTTTCCTGCTTCCTTCAACTCTTCCTAGCCTTATAGTCTTTTCCAGTGACTCTTGTCTTCTCATAATGTGACCAAAGGATGATAGCCACAGTTAAGTCACTTTAGCTTCTAAGGAGAATTCAGGCTTGATTTGATCTGAGCCCCAGTCCTAGTGGGCAGCCCATCAGTTATCAAAGACCTCTGAACTGCATAAAGTATGTGTCACATGTTACACTGACCTCATCTTCCCCCTTGGTTTGCTGCTTAAGAAGATTTTCATAAAGCAGTTTTGGTGAATCACAGAAATCCCACCCTTGTGATTTGTTCAATATGCTTTCCAATCATGAATTAGCATACATTTGGAGGTCTTGGTCGGAATGCATGCAATTTAAACCCTTCTCAAAGCTACCTCCAAACTGAACTGCAGTATTCCAAGTGAGCTCAGATCAATACTGTGTAAACCAGTATGTAAACCAAAAGGCCTGGAAAGGCAGCATGGTATAGCTCGATCTTGTCATATCTCGGAAGCTAGCAGCATCGGTACTTGGAGGGTGGGACCACCGAGGAAGATTCTGCTGAGGAGGAGGAGAAGGAGATTGGATTTATATCCTGCCCTTCACTACCCGAAGGAGTCTCAGAGTAGTTTACAATCACCTTCCCCTTCTCTTCCCTCCCCACAACAGATACCCTGTGAGGTAGGTGGGGCTGAGAGAGCTCTTGACAGAAACTGCCCTTTCCAGAACAGCTCTGAAAGAACTTATGACTTACCCAAGGTCACACCAGCAGCTGCATGTAGAGGAGTGGGGAATCAAACCCAGTTATCCCAGATTAGAGTCTGTGCTCCTAACCACTACACCAAACTGGCTCTCTATGGCCAGCCACCTCTGCTTCTCACTTGCCTTGACAGCCCCTTGCAGGGGTCACCATAAGTTAGTTGTGACTTGACAACCATTACATACGTAAGTAAATTCAATACTGTAATATAAACCCAACGCTGGGTTTTCTTACAGAATCTTAAGTGTGACCCATCTGTTAGTGATCTCAAACTACGACTCTAAGAAACATTTTGAATTCTATGGGAAAGGATATGTCTTTTATTTCTAAACCTTTAAAGAGACATATTTAAAACACACAAGTGTGAAATAAACATAGATTAAAGACAAGAGAACTGTCCTTTGATAAATTAGGTGAGTCTTAACCAGACTTTAATAGACAAGGACAACAGATTCCAGTTCCGGGGCAGGGGAAACTGGTCACCATTCTGAAAAGTGCTATGCTCAGTGACAAATTAGGACACAGAGCTCAAAAGAAAATATACAGAGACTGTAAACTACATTATCCCAACATACTGTCAAAATGGATGAAGTGAATTTCCAAACAACTGATAGCATAAGACAAATCATCAACAGATATCAATTATGCTCAAAAATATTTCACACATTAAGGGAGTGCTTCTTTGTTCTGGATGTAACTATGAAATATAGTACTTTTCCAAAAATTATCTGCAGGCCATTTATCATCTGGCTGAAGATTAAAAATATAATATTGCAGTCATAATCCAGTCTTTGTTTCTCATGGCCGCTTCATGACTTTTATCCAGTATCAACGATAACCTCTTTGCTGGACCAGTGCGTCCCAAGACATAGTGTTTTAAAGTCCTTGCTTATCTTTTATCAATGCTCTGATCGGTAGGTGGGGAAAGTTTCTGTTCGATGAATCTTCAGTGGACTATCTTCTCAAAAAAATTAAAAGGGGGAGGAAAAGGAATACATTGGTCAAATACCATAAAAGTAATGTCAGATACTAAATCACCACGTGACCATTTGAGATGAAAAGTGTCCTTTCCAAGCATCCCCAAACCCATAAAGTCCACTTTTATGTATCATTTTTTCAGTCCACTAAACAGAAGAAGAGCCATGTTGGATTAGACCAATGGTCCAGCTAGGCCAGCATCCTGGTTCACACAGTGGCCAACCATAGGGCATGATGGGAGGGAGGAGGCAAGGTGAATATGCAGTCTACCAGCATGCATCTTAACCCAACAAGTCTCAAGAGGAGGGAGCTGGAGTCTTAAGGTGAGGATCCAACCTTACACCAAAGACCTTTCTTCTAACCTAAGGAGCCTCCCCCCATTTCAGTGGCTTTTCCATTGGAGGAAGAGCCACTTAAATCGGAGAGAGGTTCCTTTGGCTGGAGGAAGGCATAGCTGAGCTATCAGATAGGATCCATCTCTCTGACTCTACTGCAGCAGGCAGGAGGAGTCAGAGAGATTTTACCCCCTTTCCTCTTCTGAGGCCATACAAGGGAATAAGAGAAGTCAAAGCCACTGGGCCAAGGTTTCCACAGCTGTCATGATGTGAATATGGAGTCTACCAGCATGCATCTCAACCCAACAAGTCTCAAGAGGAGGGAGCTGGAGTCTTAAGGTGAGGATCCAACCTTACACCAAAGACCTTTCTTCTAACCTAAGGAGCCTCCCCCCATTTCAGTGGCTTTTCCATTGGAGGAAGAGCCACTTAAATCGGAGAGAGGTTCCTTTGGCTGGAGGAAGGCATAGCTGAGCTATCAGATAGGATCCATCTCTCTGACTCTACTGCAGCAGGCAGGAGGAGTCAGAGAGATTTTACCCCCTTTCCTCTTCTGAGGCCATACAAGGGAATAAGAGAAGTCAAAGCCACTGGGCCAAGGGTCCACAGCTGTCATGATGGAAACAGGCTAAAATGTGTGAGCTGCAGTTATACATATGAAGTTTGGTGGCAAATTGGTGGACTGGGATACAATTAGAGCTGAGCCAGACCTGGAGGCCATGTTTCTTGCAAAATTTCAGTGTGCATATTTTACCTTCTTGGAATGGGCATTTGAAAGGCTTTGAAAGTATCTGGGAGAAGAAATGTCACGCCCCCATTGAATTGGCAGCTGTGGCCTGATCCCGCCACACTTTGCTGTGGCAACGAGCCTGCTGCAGTGCAGCAACACCACAATCATTGCCCTGGGTGTGTGAAAGATTCAAACCCAGGTACGAAGGTCACCTGCCAAGGCTACATTGCTTTTAATGGGAGTTTGAATGTGTATGCCAATGAGCACATATAGATATTACTAGAGCCTGAGCAGGACTTCAAAGTTAGGGCAATATGGCTCCTTTTGATCCCACCATGTAAACAAACCTGATGGCTCTATGATATTCACGGCACGATTCCTGACCGGATGTCATGAAGAAGAAGCCCCGTTAAAATTAAAATATGGTAGCAAAGCAGCATATGGGGAATGAGGGAGGGGGGACTTCCGTGTTCAGAGGCAGTCAATCTCTGAAGTAGGGTGGCCAAGTCCTCCCTGGCTGCCAGCAGGGGGGGGGGGGGGGGTTTGCCCATGGGAAACTCCTGGAGATTTGGTGATGGAGCCCGGGGAGGACAGGGACATCAGTGGGATACAGTGACACAGAATTCACCCACCAAAGTATCCATTTTCTCCAGGGGAAGTGATCTCTGTAGTCTGGAGATGAGCTATAAATCCGTGGGATTCCCAGGTCCTACCTGGAGGCTGGAATTCTTGCTCTGAATCTGAGTGCCAGGAGGCAGTATCAGAGGAAGACCCCCGCTCCTTCCCCAACTTCTCTTGAATTAGGATTTAGAAACATTTTCAAAGCCTCATCTTTCTGGCCTTCCGCAAATGAAAAGGCTGTGGTGGACATCTGGGACCATACTTTTCTTGGCCACTAGATGTCGTTCAGACATCAGGCGAGAAGCCATCAACACATTCTGGGAGACAAGAAGTCCACCCAAAGGCACAGTATTCCCTCATTCGTGGAACCAACAATACAATTTTAAACAGAGTTACGCCCTCTTAAGTCCACTGAAGTCTTAGAAGGGTTTAACTCCCTCCGAAGGAGAGTGAGCGCACACGAAAGCGTCTGTCCAGAATTAAACTTTGTTGGTCTTAAAGGTGCCACTGGACTCAAACTTTGTAGGAGTGCACTGTAAGTTTTCAAACTTTCCTTACAGGATTTCCATGTGTGAGAAAGCAAGAATTAATGCGGCCACAATGTTTTTGCAAATGACTAGAAGAACCTTGGATCTAGAATGAAGTTTCCATCCTTCTGCTGAGAACAAGGAATATAAAATGTCCATATAAAAACTGCTGAAGTTTGAGCTCATTAATAGCCTGCACTGGGATCAGGATGTAAGACATATTAATTAGGAGATGTGCCCAATGGATATAGAAAATACATAACTGGTCAGAGAATGTGAAAATAATGTGGGGCTGCTTGCAAATTCTAGTGTGGCTCAACATCCTAGAGAGACTGAAACATTGGCCATTTCTGCACTGTCATTTTGGTCACTCGTTTGTCCCTGTTGCTTCAGGGTTTTTCCCGCCCAATGTGTTTTGCTCTCTCTAGTAGTCCCAGGGGGAGCAAGACACATGTGGAAAGGGGGGGGGGGAAGCAATAGGGACAAAAGGGTGACAAAAAATGACAGTGTGGAAGTGGCCACTGATAGCTCCTGGCGAGAACACGTTTCAGTTTACGATTGGACGGGAGCAGATGCTTCATTTCTCTTTTGCCTTGGGCTGGACCCAAATGTTATGGAGATCACTTGAAATCAGACCATGGAGAAACATCAGATTATAGTGGAGATAGTGATCTATAGCGGTTCTCCACTTGAGATCTCTCAATTTCTACCATATTGGTATAAATTTACAGCAGAGACACTTCGTAGGTGAGGACTGAAGATATACATACCCCCATCCATGGTGCCTTCTGACTTTGGTCAAGCCAGTGAAGGCCACCTAAACCAGACCCAGGTGCTGGGCAGAACATGCAAATGTGACCCTTAGTGCATTCAATCTGGACTGTGTACCGAGACCAGCAAAACCAACACAATCAAAATATGATTGCCTACTATGGTCTCAGCCTTTGTCATTAGCTGAGCTGATTGGAGAATTATTAGAGATTATTCATACTAGTTAAACGATGTTTTACAGCGTATCAGTGGAAGGGTAAAGGCTTCATTGGGATTCGTAATCCTACTTTCAGCTTTTATGCTCTTTATCCTATCCTTCCTCCAAGAAACTCTGGATGGGGTACATAAAGAAGGTTAGATTTATACCCCACCCTCCATTTGGAGTCTCAGAGCAGTTTACAATCTCCTTCCCTTTCTCTCCCCACAACAGACACCCTGTGAGGTAGGTGGGGCTGAGAGAGCTCTGAGAGAACTGCTATTGAGAGAACTGTTCAGAAAAAACTGTGACTGACCCAAGGTCACCCAGCTGGCTGCATGTGGAGGAGTGGGTAATCAAACCCAGTTCTCCAGATTAGAGTCTGCCGCTCTTAACCACTACACCAGACATGGCTCTTCCCTTCTTCATTTTATCCCCTGTAAGGTCAGTGTAGGGGAGGGAAGACAGCATGGTGTAGCCCAGTCTTGCCAAATCTCAGAAGCTAATGAGGGCTGGTACTGGGATGGGAGACCACCAAGAAAGGCTCTGCAGAGGAAGGCTACGGCAAACCACCTCTGCTTCTCACCTGCCTTGAAAGCCAATCAGTTGTAACTTGATGGCACTTGCGTATATAAGGCAGTATAATATTTCTGTGTCCACAGATAAAGATATATGGTACCCTTTTGTATTGTTTGTAATTGGGCTGGTGATATACCGAATAAACTGAAACACCACGATATAGAATGAAGAAGGGCCACAGACAAAGATATAGAATGACTTTTGTGTGAAGATCAAATAAAACAGCTTGCACAGCAGTCTTTAAGTCCTGTTCTAGAATAGACTAATGTCACATGACTTTAGGGCAAGTCCACAAATTACCAGTTTCTTAACATTCCCTATTAATTAAACTAATGTCACATGACTTTAGGGCAAGTCCACAAATTACCAGTTTCTTAACATTCCCTATTAATACAGTAGGTTAGGCTAAGAGAGGGAATGTGATTCAGTCAAAGTCACCCAGCCATGGCAGAGTGGGGAATCGAACCCAGGTCTCCCAAACCCTAACTACAAAATACTGCCTCTACAGAAAGTAGCAACATCAGAAGATCCTGGTTATGGGATCAATACGAGCAAATCCGGTTACATGTCACAGTGCTTGTTTTCATTGGGGATGCAGACTGTTGGTTTACGTTTGTGAAAGTTTGCCCTATGGCTGTCTAGGCGCTTAGGCTAATGAATGAAATGGCTTTATACGGGTTTTTTTTAAAAAATATATATATTTTCGACATTTTTACCCCGCCCTCCCCACGAGCAGGCTCAGGGCGGCTTACAATAAGTGTTATTTTTGAGAAAGAAAGAAAAAACACCCTTGCAGACAGAGCTGGTTTGAGACCCAGTTTGGTGTAGTGGTTAAGTGCATGGACTCTAATCTGGGAGAACTGCGTTTAATTCCCCACTCCTCCACTTGCAGCTGCTGGATGACCTTGGGCAAGCCATAGTCCTGTCAGAGCTGTCCTTGAAAGGGCAGTTCTTGAAAGAGCTCTCTCAGCCCCGCCTACCTCACAGGGTGTCTGTTGTGGAGAGGGGAAGGGAAAGGAGTTTGTAAACCACTCTGAGAATCCAAGTGAAGGGCAGGGTATAAATTCAATCTCTTCCTCTTCTTCCTCTTCCTCTTCTTCTTGGATCCAGGTTCCTTCTCTGCCCACGACCAGCCCCGCCCCCAGCATCTCCCTTCCTGCCAACCACCTGCTTAAGTGTCCTTCCTTTGCTTCCCAACCCTTTCACATGCCATTTCTCCAGTGGCACTGGGCAACTGCTGCCAAAAATGTCACTGCTCTGCACCACCTGTGTACCCTTCCCCAGTAATGCTGGGCAGAGCATGTGGCAGGGAGCATGGGTGGTGGTGTCCCAAGCTGATGGGGAAGGTAAGGCACTCAGGCAGGTGGCAGGGTGGGCACATGGGCAAGATGTTAGTGGCAGTGGGCCCTGCCAGAAGCCCTGGGCCCTAGCCGCTGCCCCACCTCAAGGTATGCTGACGCTGGCCCTGGCTGCAAGAAGAACATGCCCTAAATGAGGTGTTGCAGAACTGATTCCTAAATGAGCCTCGGCCTTTTTGGGCATCATCTTGAATTGGCTTTAACATCTGTTCTTTGGTTCAATATCCCACAAGTCTTTGCTGCTTAGCTAGTGTTCTGTATTCCAGCAACTAAGCATTGCCCTGCCTATGCCCTTCACATATGAGCATAGTTTACATTCCAGGAGGCAAGGGTATCAGGCTCGAGTCTAAACATATAGCTCATCAGTATGTGAGGCTCCTTAGCTCTATCCTTGAAGGAGATGCTGTTTAGAGCCTCTTGACCTCACAGATAATAAACTAATTTTGGGCAGAAGTTCATACTGCCAACGTAGGAGGGGCTGGGTCTTGTGAAGCTCATTATATTCCTAATTGACACCTACATTTGATTCTATGGACCACAGAAAGTTATATATTGCTTGTGCTTGCATTGTTCAGGGCTTCATGCCAACCACTCCCTGTGATTCTGTGTGGGTCTTGGCAGGCAGACGGAATATATTCCAATTATATGTATTCAGTGCACTCGATCTGAGGGACTGGGTTTTTCCTTGTATGGTATATTATGCACTAGGGCTTTTCTTCTACATGGTTCAATAAATAGTTTCAGCATGGCAAAACTGCCTTTTTCTCTTCCTCAGACAAAGATTCGGTCTCTAGCTGGTCTCCATCCAGCCCACTGAACTCTGATGGGGCCTGGGGGTCCCAGGGAACACTCCTGGGCTCAGGAATTCCCCAACATGAAGCCAGAGGGGGAAGCTGCCTTTTCAACGAGGAGAAAATGTTGTCCCAGTGATCACCAGTGTTCCTTCTAAGCTGAGTTAGAGTGAGCTGGCTCACAGTTTTTTAGTCTCCAGCTCACATGTTTTTGTCTTGGCTCAGGAAGGAGGGCTCCGGAGCAAACTAATGTATGCAGTAGCCAAATCGCTCGCTCACAACTTTAACGCCGGGAGCTCACAAAGTAGAGCTTTTGCTCACAAGACTCCACAGCTTAGAGGGAGCATTGGTGATCACCCGATAAATATAGCAGTATTGATGATACAGGGCCCCGAATAATCCTTTGGAGCCAATTTATAGCATTGTTTCAGCATCAGCCTCCTACCTTGAAGGCCAAAGAGCTGCCCAGTGCTGTGTTGTCGTGTGATGTGCTGCCAGTAAGCACTGCGTGGCAAGGGGACCATGGTGCCGAGGGAGACAGCCCGCTCGCTCATTTTCATCTGTAGCTAAAACAGAGCAAAAGAGATATCACAATGAACACAGAGAGACCGTTGCAGCAAGTTCAGACTTCTAATCACCTCTGACCCATGTTCCCTGAAAGGAAACGTGTTGCAAAGTATTAGGGGCTCATAAATGAAACTTAAGAGAGTTACAAATTATGAGACTGTTCTGGCTTTGACAATTAAGCCTTCCTCTTTCATGTGTCCTCTCTGGATTTTCCCTACCAGATTCATAGAGCAGGACGTGCCAAGTTGCCAGCTCTGAGCTGGGAAATACCTGGAGATTTAGGGGGTGGAGCCTAGGGAAGACAGGGTTTGGGGAGAGGAGGGACCTCAGCAGGGTATAATGCCATAGACTCCAACCTGCAAAGCAACTGTTTTCTCCAGGGGAACCAATCTTGGTTGTCTGGAGATCTACCATAATAGTGGAAGATCTCCAGCTGCCACCTGGAGACTGGTAACCCTAAGCACATGACACATTCCAAACACCTGCTTCTCCAAAGTCACAGAAAGAACTCCCTGTTGCAGCCATTTCAGCTTTGGAAAACAGCATGGGGGAAGGCAGGAGCCCTTCCTCCTCACACGCCACAGTTCCAAGGCAAAAAGGGCTCCCTCTGATCTTTACAATGAAATTTCCTGCAGCAGCCGTGCTACTGAAAGGAAAGCGAGTTGGGTCAGGGGAACCTAGGCCCAACTCACCCAAAAAAAATGTAATGTATTGTTTGACATCTAGTGATCAGCTCCCAGCAACTCTGAGCTCATGTTTTCCTTATTGTCTCCTTTGTCTAGTCTCTCTGATGCTGGGGTCTCTTTGTAAGACTGACCTTCCTTTGCGACAAAACCTCTTGTCATTGTAAGGACTTTAAGTCATTGCTTGTAACTCAGTTCAGTGTCATAAACTTTTGCTCAGGTTTTATACTGCCTAAACCCATTTCAGTCACACATTCCTGTTCTTTCTGACAAGGGAAGGAAAAGGGGCTGTTAATCTTTCAGTGTTTTAAGAAAGAAAGCGACAAACATGCTATTTGCTTGAAAGCAGACTTTCTAAAAGGCGTGTCACTGTAGATTTTAGTAATGGCAGAGAACATTCAGTGTACAGAAACAACCTTTTTGTTGTCTCCCCACCCCATTTATTCATTATTCACTTTACCACTTAAATGACTGCTCCCTCCAAGAACAGTGCTGATTATTTGAGACAGCTAGATTCTAGTCCTGTAGCACCTCAGAGAACAATAAGATTTGGGTGGTATAAGATTTTTTTGGGGTAAAAATCTTGCCGGTCTCTAAGATGCTGTTATTATTTCTTATTGCATGAGGCTATCACCCTTTTGTGCTAAAGCCATTCATCGTGTAGCTTCTGGACACACTTGAAAAGACCAAGACAAGCATTTTGCTCTTAGAAGCTAATGATGTACACAAAAGGCTGTGTCATGTTGAAGCTTCAATACAGAAAATGGAGGAAATTTGAGCATTTTTGTGGCAACTGATTCAAACAGTAGATAAACCACTCCCCTACACGTATGTGCGGCAGCCCACAGACTAAAATCACACACTGCTCTACCTGTTTCACAATAAGATTTACTCACAAATAAGTGCGGCAGTGTGCAACTTGAAACTGCATTGCCAGGTTGACTTCTGAATAAGTTAAGATGGCAAACGTCTACCTGGCACAACAAATGATCACAGTTTCCCAAGAGTAAATATGCTGTTACAAAAAAGGGGGACAACATTTTAATGTTTGAAGCAAACTTCAGTAACAAGTTGCAAGTCAATTTGACCAAAGCAGAGGTGCTACTGGTGACCGGAAGCTTTGGCCAAGAAAACAGGATATCTCCTGTTCTGTATGTGGTTGCACTCCCCCTAAAGGAGCAAGTTTGTAGCTTGAGGGTGCTTCTAGACCTGGGTCTCTTATTGGATCATCAAGTGGCAGTGGGAGCCAGGGGTGTCTTTTACCAGCTTTGGCTTGTGAACCAGCTGTGGCCCTTCCTGGGCAGGAAAGAGATTGCCACTGTCATGCATGCTCTGGTAGCATCTAGATTAGATTACTGCAATGTGGGGCTGCCCTTGAAAACTTTCCAGAAGTTACAGCTGGAACAGAATACTGTAGCCAGAGGGTTGACTGGAGTGGGTCACAGGGAGCATATCACTCCAGTCTTGTTCCATCTTCAGTGGCTCCCAGTTTGCCTCTGGGCACAATTCAAGATGCTGGCATTGATCTTTGATGTCCTATACAACTTGGAGCCAACATACCTTAAGGACCACCTTTTCCCATATAAACCTATGCATCTTCAGATGCCCTGCTTCACACCCCCTCTCCCATCTTAGACTAGACGGGTGGCAACCTGAGACAGGACCTTCTCGGTCACGGTGCCAGAACTTTGGAACTCCCTCCCCAGGGAGATTCATCTGTCACCCCGTCCTTCTTTGTTTTGTTTGGCATAACCCAATAACTGTTATTGGCCCTTCTCTCAGGTTTTCGTGTTTGTGAGTTTATATGTTTTCACTGAGTTATGTTATACACACTTTATTTTAACTGCTATTTAACATTGATACATTTTAATGTTTTGATGTTCACTGTGGAAAGGTGGCGTAAATAAATAAATAAAGTCATCTCAGGGGGCAGAGGCCTCTAGACTACATCAGAACTTCCAGAGGTTTCCTCAGGACAGAACAACAAGGTAAATGCTGAAACTTTTTCGAAGAAGGGAAAGAAATAAAACAGCACCACCTACTGACTGGAGGTGCTGCTCATATAATCTTTCCGGTATCCCTTGCCATGGCTGTTTAAAGACTGCAAGAAATTTTGCGGGAAACATTAGTGCCTTTCTAATAAGGTACTAACTTTTCCAGGAAGAGTTCCCAAAAGCAGGGCTTTAATTGGGTACAGAATGTCAAATGGACTTTAAGACACATTTTTGCCTAAATAAATAAATAAATACAAATCGACTGGAGGTGTTGTAATCTAAAAGTGCTTTGATGTTATTTAGGGGCACTTATTCATCCCATAAACTCCCATTTCACCAAGTTTACCTTTTCCATGTAGGGTCTGGAAGTTGGGGGGGGGGATATTGAATCGGCAAGCTATCTTTAAACACCCACAAGCTAATACTGAATCACTGAATCACTGCACACAATACATGCTTCCACCCACACCATGTTAAATAAATATGGTTCTTCCAGTTATACTTCAAAAGGACTTGCAATGTAATCCTGCATTCCAGTGTCATGGAAACAAACAACTAGGAGTCTATTTTAGGAGTTGTAGCACTCTGTAGAACATTGCAATTTTAAAAGATACATTTCTCAAAGCACACGCCTCAGCACCCCTCATGGTTTTGATTTAATGGTACCCCACCTGAATAAGAGGGGTGAGAAAGGAAGTGCGGTAATCATTCTAAATTTGAACACAGCAGAATGTTTGGAATTCAGAAGCCTCCAGTGGAAATGAAAGGCTGAGAAAACCGTTTAATCAATACAAACAGCTTGGAAGTTGTTATCTGTGAATTTGGAGCAGTTTTTCTTAAAACAAAAGAGAGAGATGTCTGTGTGGGGAAAGTAATGCTTTGCACCAAACCGTATTTTGCAAACTACTGCCACCCTATAGGAGTAGGGCTGTCAGGTCTCCTGCCCTGTTGCCTATCTCCCCTCCATGCAGCGTGTGCACCTCTACTCACTTCCAGTAGAAACCCAGAAGTGACAGAGTAGCTCAAGGAATTGTCAGGAAAAACCATAGACTTCCCAGCAATTCCTAGAGCTACTCTATGTTACTTCCCAGTTTTCTCAGAAAGTGAAATTGTAGCACATACAACATCCCCATGGCCATGAAGCTAACTGGTGTCCTCGGGCCAGTCACCTTCAGCCAAATAACCTACCAACAATACTGTGAAGATAAAATGGAGGGGAGAACCGTATTCACTGCCCTAAACTCCCTGCAACAAGGGTGGGATTAAAATGTGCTCAATAAATAAGCTGGAGAAGTAAGTTATGGCAATATTTTATGATAATATCCTTCTGCAAAATAAATCTATTTGATTATATGTACCTCAGCAAATCCAGCAAACCTTGCAGATCACAACAATAGATCGGTATAATATTATTGGACTATAGCCATCTCGCAATTTGTGACTTTTAAAAAGCCTCCCGAAGCCCACTGATGGCAAAGGGAATGGCGGCCATGGAGAGAAAGTGTAGAGGAAAAGGCCATGTGAATAATCCATTGTGTGTGCATCTGCATTTGCAGGGGCTGAAAGAGCTACGTGGAGAGTGATCTCTGGGGAGAAGCAGTCTGACTCTTTCTCCTTTTCTCTTTCCCCATAAATTTTCCCCAGTTTTTGCACCAGTGTTCTAGTACTCCTGGATTTGTAATCAAGACTGCTGCAGCAATAGTTCTGATGCAGATCTAGTTGGGTCAGACTCATAACATCTCATGGAATTTGTAGTCTTAAAGCAACACAAGGATTACAGTTTTGAAGAGAAGAATAAGAAGAGTTTGGGGGTTTTTTACCCCGCTCGCCACTACCCAAAGGAGTCTCAGAGTGGCATACAATCGCCTTCCCTTCCTCTCCCCACAACAGACACCGAGTGGGGTAGGTGGGCCTGAGAGAACTCTGAGAGAGCTGTGACTGACCCAAGGTCACCCAGCTGGCTTCGTGTGGAGGAAGAGTGGGGAATCAAACCCGGTTCTCCCAGATTAGAGTCCTCCACTCTTAACCATGACACTGAGGACAGATGCTCAGAAGATCAAGGAAGCAATGCAGATGTTGGAAAACAGGTATATGTCAATTTTGGCAAATAATTCCATAGTAGAAGAATTTTTTTAACTTGCATAGGATTCAGCAACAATTCTAAATATGACTAGAGAAGTGATATGACCAGAAAAGAACCCTGATGAGCAGGGCTGCTGACAGCCTGAAGGTAAAAAGTGTCCTGTCCCTTTAACAGAGAGATAATGTGTCGAAATGGGCAGCCGAAGTTTTTAATGGCAAGAGGTAAATAACATGACCCCATTAAATAACATCCCATTAAGTCTCTGATAAACGGGTGGACATTTTTTCCCTTCTTGAACCATATTGATGAGGCCCATTAGATCTTGAAGGCTTTTTCCTCTGCCCATTTAACAAGAGCTACTTAATCTCATACTTGCCACCCACCAAGTGGATCCTGGAGATCTTGTAATTACAACTGATCCTCCTGGAATGGAAACTGATCTTTGAGAAAATAACTGCTTTGGAGGGTGGGCTCTATGGTGTTATATTCCATGAAAGCCCCTCCCTAAACCCCACCCTTACCAGTCTCCACCTCCAAAATCTCCAGAAATTTTCCAACCTGGAATTGGCAACCCTAAGAAGTATTAGAACAGCTAGATAGTCTTAGGTAAGTAATTTCCAACAATAGTTACATTAAAAAAAAAAAAAAACCAAAGCAAGCATTGATGCAGACTAGCCTGATAGCCCCAAGTGTTAAAATGGAGAAACTGATGGTGTTAACAAGGACAAAAAAGAAGACAGTTACGGGTGCCAAAGTGTTTACGATGTGTAAAATCAAAATCTGAACTCCAGTTTAAAAAGGTGGCCTATGGATTTCATGTCATTAACACTGAGCACTGGATGATGACAGGTAGAACTTGTATGCATACCACTGAGTTCTTCACACTCTGCAATAAGCGGTCGTGTTGTTCTGCTATGGTCAGAGCTGCAGAGTGAACCTTCTGATAGATCGCCTCCCCGTCTCTCGTCTGGAAGATGAATAGTCCTTCCCCTGTGTCACACATCCTGCCAGAAAGAGAACACAGCAAGGTGCCTTGTGAGAGCAGGTGGATTTATAAGTGTACATTCCGGTACCGTTCATGCAGAAAATAGCAGCAACGAATAAGGAGATGACAACAGCCGATGCACATGAATTAAATCAGCTTCAGACTTACATGCACCATTAGAGCAGATGCATATTCAAAAGTGTGTAATCCAGTACAGAAAATCCTCTGGCTACCTTCACAATGCTTCCAGCGCTTTGGGCCTTTAAATGCAATTCTTACATTCAACAAAAAAAAGAGATGGCAAAGGAAGCTAACTCCATTTTCACTTTGTTTTTCCTTTGGGTTAAGGGACAGGCAGGTGATGTTCACATTCTTGTTTTCTTTTGTGTTAAGGAAGCACTATAATGTTTTTACTATAGTAAAAACAGTGGTGGGATTACAGAGTTTTCCAGAAGTGTGGTGGGTGGGTCGACATTGCCATGTAGGATGTCTCCAGTGTTGTGATGTCACTTCCGCATGACATCATCACATCAGGGATGTCCCGCAAAGTTGTAGCTGTTGGGGTGGGGCTTCCCCCTGCCAGCCAAGTGGCTGACGGCGGGCAGGAACCTGCAAAATTGGGGGATCCCCCACTCCCAACCAGGACTGGCAAGTTGGTAACCCTAGGTGGGATCTAGCCAGCTTTTTCACTCAATCTCAACCAATTCCCCTCATTATTACTGCCCTTGTCACATATGGCTTTTATCCATGAAGATTCCAGCATAGCCTTTTTGGTGGCCAAAGGAAACACACGCGGACACTTCTTTTGTTTCACTACAGGACAACCCAATGGTTCAATATGGAATCCATGCCTTGTAGGGTTCCCAACCTCCAGATGGTGGCTGGAGAGCTACTGGGATTTCAATTGATCTCTGGGTGACAGAGATCAGTTCCCCTGGACAAAATGGCTGCTTCGGGAGGTGGACTCTATGGCACTGTACTCTATAGCATTGTGACTCTATAGCAAACCCCATCCTCTCCAGGCTCCATCCCCAAAATATCCAGGTATTTCCCCACACAGAGCTGACAACCCTAATGCCTTTTCAGGGCCAGCACCTTAGTATCAGAGTACAACTGCTGAGGCCTATAGGACTTGCAGAAGGCCAACCAGACATCCTTGACGCCCACCTTGATTCCACCAGGAACATCCTTGTGATATGCCAATTCAGGCACTACCATGTTGTTGTTCTATGTTTTTAAAGGTGGTCATTTATTGTGCAGTTAAAAACATGCTTTTCCAGCATATAACCCAAAGATACGATTCAGGGAGCTGAACAGTGGCAGGAAAACCTTTCAGTGATACGTTTCAGTTGTAGCATACAGAACAAGGTGTCTAACTTTGCCCATTCCCTCCCCACAAAAAAGTGTCCTAATACACAGGTCTCAAAAATTCCCAGGTCTCAAAAGTCTGAAGAGCGCTGCTATGAAGCGTCCACTCACCTTCCAGCTTCAAAGGTAAACCAAGTCGAGTCCCGTCCGTATCGCCGGAGGGCACTTAAAGGCCAAGAGACGAGCTTTACTCTGGGATTCTGGATGTCCCAAAGACAGATATTCTCAAATGTTATCTGCAAGGTACATTCCCCATGCACATCTAAATTAGGGGATGGCATCAAATACACATTGAATCTCTCTGGGAGAAAAACAAAAGATTTAGACTAAAATCCTTGCAGAATTAAAAGATCGCAGACATAGCACAAGCTCAGAATTATCAGTCATCACTTCTATGGCATTTTCTAGTGTCCTAGGCAGTTTTTAATCACACATTCTCAACACAGGTCTACGGGAATGGACAACCATTCTACAGCTTTCAGATCTGAATCCAGGAGAACCTTAAAGACCAACAAGAGTTTCACATTGTACAGAAGGAAGTGGGTAGAGCAAGGTACTAGAAATCTGGACTATACCACAATGCACTGCAAATTGGAACTCATATTTTGAATTACCCTGTTTGGTGTAGTGGTTAAGTGCACGGACTCTAATCTGGGCGAACTGGGTTTGATTCCCCACTCCTCCACTTGCACCTGGCTGGATGACCTTGGGAAAGCCATAGTTCTGATAAGAGCTGTTCTTGAAAAAGAGCAGTTTCTGTCAAGAGCTCTCTCAGCCCCACCTACCTCACAGGGTGTCTGTTTTGGGGAGGGGAAGGGAAAGGAGTTAGTAAGTCGCTCTGAGACACCTTTGGGTAGTAAAGGACAGGGTATAAATCCAACCTCCTCCTCCTCCTCCTCCTCCTCCTCTTCTTCTTCTTCTTCTTCTTCTTCTTCTTCTTCTTCTAAATGCAGAGATATAATTATGGTTGTCAA